TTACTAATCAACTTGTGTTGGACAAAAAGCTGATGAAAAATGAGATTGCTTTACTGAAACAACAGGTTTGCCTGCTTCAAGACCAAAAGGCAATGCAAGGGTGGAGATTGAAAAAGAAAGACTTAACAAGAAATGCAAGACACTTTCTACTGCTATGAAGAAGGCAAAGGTAGGTGATAGGGATGGCATATCAGGAGTGATTCTGGTGGTGATAATTGCTACTATTGGATTGGTGTTAGTGTATTTGGTAAGGACATTGATGTAATAGGCAATTAGTTAATGATTGGTATTACGTTTGCATTGTATTAGTGGCATATGTCATAGATTTTGGTATGTAAACAAAGTGCAATTGCTGACCTTTATCAATTTTAGGTTGTAATATTGTCATGACAATGAAATGGAATGGTGTTTTGATTACTACCTTTAAAATGCAATTTAAGGCATAAATATTAAGCACATGATAAGTTACAATAAAATCGCCACAAAGGTACACAAAAATAACTTCATGAATCGCCAAATCATTATTAGTGAGAAAAGACAATAATAGGGATGATGCAACACAATTTCTGAAAAAGCTCCCTGCATGAGTTACCATAAAGTTTGCAGAGAAAAGGCATTAGCTGCTAGCTATATATTTAGTCAATAATTGTGCAAGAACACTTCTAGCATGACACTAGTGCAAATAAAAAAAATTAGAAAACTCCAGCCATCGGCAGTTAAGAAAACATCAGTAGACTTTCCAAGCTAGTTCAGACTTCAGAAGTCAATATGCTAGACAGGGGAGAATTCAACTACCAAATTGTGGTGGAAATCACCAAGGAAAAGGCATAGTATGAAGTACAAATCCCACAGTCAATTCCATAACAAAATTTCGGGGGACAAAAGCAAGTGTTTTGGTTTCATGATTTTTTTTTTTTTTACAACTCACAACTGACCAGAAGTCAAATTACATTCTAGTGACTAACCCATTCAGCCCACACTTCTTCACATCACTCCAGCATAAAATCTAATACTTTAAAATCAATGTTTACATTGAAATACAACAATAGTATATTAAAAAGTGAAGAGGAGGATTGAGTAAATAAGATGCTTACCATGTATACTCTACAACTAGCAACATGAAAACTCTTCTTTGGCATAGATACATCTCACAAAGTACTTGAACCAGGATTGTGCAACCAACATGCTTTTCAGGCGCTATGGAAGTACTTAGATCTTACAACTTGCAAAGATCCTCTAGAGATACTAATAACCAAGACAGTATTGAAACAAAAGTATAATTTAGTATCATCTTCCCATCTTACACAAATGTACAAGTGACTCCATCTCAATTGATCCTTTGAGGTGCTTGTGAATGTTATCAATGTAAGAGGTATTGATTGTTACCCCTTTCTCAACCATATAATTGGCCAGTTTTCCTACCTCTTCCACACGGTTTTCTTGACAAAGACCAAGAAGTAGGGCTGAGTATATATCAGAATCAATTGTTAGTACAAAGCCCTTCTTCAGAACATCCTCATATAGACCAAATGCTTCAAAAAATCTTCCTTTTAAACACAAATCCTTCAACAAGACAGTACATGCAAACCCATCAGGCCTCACAACACTTCCTAACATCCACCTGAAAAGCTTCTCTGCCTCCTCAAATCTTTGGATCCATAACAAGGAGATCACAAGAGAACTATAGCACTCATCTTTCGAGACTTGACCTCCAACAACTACATCATTAACACGTTTAAATGCCTTGTCAATATACCCTTCACGACAAAGACCTTGGATTAGCACACTCATAGTAATCCTGTTAGGATGGCACTTAAAACTCTCCATACGCTCCAATAGCGACAATGCCTCAACTGACTTGCCATTTTCACACAAAGTCTGGATAATTGATGTATAATGACATTCGGTGTACACTCCCCGCCTTCTTTCTCCATCTCACCCAAAAACTCCAACGCTCTCTCAAAACTACCAGCTCTGCAAAGTCCATCAAAGAGTGCAGAGTATGCCACCAAATTCGGAACACATCCATGACTTTTCATAGTCTTGAACAACTGACAAGCATCCTCCAATCTCCCAGCAAAACAAAACCCCTTTAGCATTGACATATACGTAATCATATCAGGACACAAATCACATGATTCCAACTCTCTCATCAACCCCATTGCCCTATCAAGATCCCCCCTTTCACAAAACAACCCAATAACCACATTATACATCGTTGAATCCGGCTGACAACCAAAATCACCCATCTTTCTCAATACCCACAAACCCTCATCAGCACTCCTAGCTTCTCTACACAAATTAAGAACAACTTTAAACAATTTCACATTAGTTTGACACCCTTCAACCCCATAACACTCAATAATCTCTCTAATCCTATCCGGGTTTCGACGAATTTCGAGCAACTTACAAGCTAAGTTATACATATATTGAGTATGCCTATACTTAGGTTGTAAACCAGTCCATATGAAAAAACGAAGACCTAATTGGGGCTGATTTAAGGATAATCTACGCAACACCTCAGTAACACATTGAACATCTAATTGAGCATTAACATTAACAAGGGTTTTTTCAGGGTTTTGAGGGCAATTTATGAGGTGGGTACAAAATTCTTCTGCTGTTGAAAAATTGATTCTTGTAATGAGCGAAAATGGTGGGTTTTTTAACCTATATGCGGAGGTGAAAAAGCAAGAAATTGATGACATCGCCATTTTTGGAAGAAGAAGATAATTTTAATGAGCTAATACAAGGAAAATGGACTCGAAAATTACCTTGGTGTGATTCTGCGAGATCAAGGGAACATATATATAAAAATCAGAAGAAGAAGAAGAAGTAAGGTCCTCAATAAGCTCTTTGACAAAAGAAGGGAGAGACCTAAGATAGTAGGGGATATGGTTAAATCTTCTTGTAAATGGGACATGAGGAAAGGGAATAGGAGCAATGGTCTCACCTAAAAACTTTTCCTCACCACCATTCCTCAAATCACTAATAAGAGCATAGAAATCAATTATAGAATCCTCAAAAGAAGAACACTCATGATCTCCATCTCCCTCAAACTTCCAACCTCTAAGAGAAACCACATCTTCCTCTCTATCACAACGATGAAAAACAACTCCCTCAACATCCTTAAAGCCTAGAGTCTCAAAACCATGCATGAAAGGATGAAGGTTTCTCTCAAACGCATCCCTTTCCCATGAAGCATTGCCAATGAACTCTCTCAAAAGACTGATTTTTCATTACACCGTCAATGAACACATTAGTCATAACCTCAAAGGAGTCCAAATACTCATAGGTAGAAGGGTCACAAACATGAAAGGTAGACTCATTAAGATAGGGAAGGGGGTTGGAATCCACAAAATCAACAAATTCTTCATTCTCAACTCCTTCTTCATCTTCCAGAACTTCCATCCTCCCTGATCTTGATCTCCACGGAATTGGAGATGGAAGCACAACACTCTCTTCAACCGTCTCCTTACGCTCCTCAACAACTTCATCATCCAATCCCCCATAATCCCCACCTGAAGGTTTCCTTGAAATCCTCGAAATACCCCTTGAACTCGAATTTGAATTAGCCCTACTCAATGATCTAGAAACCTCACCGTCCCCATTAACAGACCCAAATTCACTACGAACCGAGCCTCGAGATTTCACACTATCATTCCTGCTCATTCTCCTAGAATCATTACCACCCTTTGCACTTACACCAAAATTTGATCTAGCATAACCCCTTGAAACCCTAGAATCCTCCTCACTAACCATTTTAACATCATTTCTACTAATTCTTCTCAAAGCATTTGACAATTCCTTAGAATTTGATCTAGCATAAACCCTAGAAACCCCAAAATCAACATCATTTCCATCGGAAACCATTGATTTCAAACTCCTAACAGGCAATAACAATGGCTTTTCACCCAAATCCACATCCACAATAGCACTATTGTTTGTAACAACAAGCTTAGGTTCATTTCTATAATACCGAGAACTCCATGTTTGAACCTTACTATCATTTTTTGGGATATTCTATTTGGTAGCCTCGTGGTTTCAAAAATTCCACATGGAAGACAAAGGTTTTTTTAGGTCTGTGTAATGACCTCGTGGTTTTGCATATTAGATTATAGTGGCCTAATTATCATTAAGTGGCTAACCATTTACAAAATGGTTTGGTTTTTTTACCATATTTCAGGAAAAGACTAACCTACCCCTAATTAAATGAATTCCCCCTTCCTTCTCATTTAAATACAGACTCCCCTTCAACTGTTTGGCTGGTTGCTCGATATTGTTGAATTTAATCCCAAACCCTTTCCTCTCCCTTTAACCTTCCACCATATCTCACAACCTAGCCTCCTCCATAGGTTATCTCCATGAATTTTCGTGGAGTTTCTTCAAAGAAGAGAGGCGCAACAGATGGAAGCTTTAATTGGGTAAGGATGAAGCACTGCAATTGCAACCCCCCTAGAAACGCTGAGGTTAGGTTTTCTGATTCCATGAGCAATCCAAAGAAGCCATACTACACATGTAGGGAAAAAGTCAGAGGTTGCGGATATTTTGAATGGGTCACAGAAGATGATGTGAGCTTTTACGATGCTTCACCAAATTCTGAGATTGCCGCAATGCATAACATGGTCTCAGAACTGTTTGTTTGTTGCAAGAGGGTTATGAAGATTGGTATTATAATATTAGTAATTTATGTTTTTTGTTACCTTAAATGATGTAAACAGGGTAATGAGGGAAAGGGGAGTATTGTTAAGGTTGAATCGTAATGAAGTTATGTAATGAGGGGTGGTGATGTATTTTGTACTGGGTTTATGAAAGCAGTTATGTAATTCAACCAAGTATAAATAAAAACTCAGTTATGGTACTTGATTTCTAATATCTATAAATGTGTTGTGAATGAACCAAAGTTGAGATATGATAAGGTAATAAAACTTTAGTTAAATTACAGACCATAAGTTGACAAAAACCATAATTTCACCTACAAGAACTTAAATACAGACCATATGTTCAACAACCAAAAGTTGGCCTAGAAGATGTTCTAGTTAAATACAGACCATATGTTCAACAACCAAAAGTTGCAAGCAATTGCACTGACATACAAAAACAAACATCCTACTTGCTCCTACTCCATCAAGGTACAGGACATATCAGACTTTGTTCTTTCCTTTGTTACCCTTCCTTGTCCTAGTAACAGGTTGGCTACTTGGACCTTGAGTAGCTTCATATGAAGTCTGAGTTGTGTTAATGGAGGGATGTGGTTGTGAAAGAGACTGCAATGAGCTTCTTGTGAATCTTCTTGGAGGGTCTGGTGGGTTTGCTGTGGATGTGCTCTTTGGTGCACTGTGTTTAGAGGATTGAGAAGTTTTCTTTGCTGTATTTTTAGCTCTTGCCTTTCTCTGCTCTGCTGCTGTAAGTCCACTCTTACATGTTTGTTTGTTGTGTCCATAACACATACATTTTTTACATTGGACTGTTGTGGACCTTTTCCCTTTGTCTGGTTCATCAGCTGCCCTTTTTCTTTGTCTAGATGGCCTACCAATGGCTCTTTTCATCACAGGTGGTAGTATTGTAGGCACATCAATCTCTGGCCAGTGCTCAAAATCTGGTACAGGGTGTATTGGATTGGCATATGCTTGCTTAAAAGTTTGGACTGAGAACCATGTGCTGCAGAAATGGTATGGGTTCAATCCAGCAGCCAAGATTGCTCTGATTGCATGTTTGCAAGGCAATCCTGAAATTTGCCATGCCCCACAAAGACATGTCTTCCTGTGTAGTGACACAGGTAGCATAGATTTCCCATCCTTCACTTCATATTCACCCTCACTTGATTGATAAGCTTTGCAAGTTCTTGATTCAAAGGTCAAACTCCTTATTCTCTTTACTATGTTAGGGCATGGTTCATCCTCATTCCATTTGTTGCACCTTTGTCTTCTTGTTGACAGTCTAACCATGCACATTCTTCTAATACCTGTGCATTCATGTATTCTTTGGTTAGCATTAAAGAGCCATGTCAAATACCATTAATGAAGATGGGAAAAACAGAATGATACCTTCCAAAAGTGTTAAGACAGGCCTGCATCTGTCTATACCTAAAGTTGAGTTGAAGCTCTCCACAAAGTTGGTCTTGTTCTCATCACTGCAAATGTTTGGATCAAATTTGTGCCTCGTCCATCTTGACTGCTCCCCCAGATCAGCCAACCATTCACAAGCACTTGGATTCACAACCTGTATCTTGTCCATTGCTTTTTTGAAGGTGAAAGGAGATGTTGCACTACATGCCAACCAAAATAGTGAATGCATCAAAGGCCCAGGAAATGCTGCTTTCCAATTCTTGGCTAAGTGTTTGCAGCAATATCTCCTGTCCACTTCAGGTCATAGCTCATTTAGTGCCACATCTATTCCCTGCATCCAAATGTTAGAAAGTCTAAGTTACATTGTTATTTGCAATTGCAGAAATAAAAAGTGTGACTGATAGAGATCACTTACTTTTTGTCTGTCTGAAATAATACACCAACCATTCCCCCTCCCAGAACCTGACAGAATATGCTTAAGGTGCCAGAAAAAATACTTCCAGCTGTCACCATCTTCCTTGGGGACAATAGCCCATGCAAAAGGAAACAACTCATTGTTCCCATCTACAGCCACAGCAGACAGAAGGACCCCACCAAAATGTCCCTTCAAGTGAGCTCCATCAACCCCCACTATACTCCTACACCCTGCAACAACACCATCAATGGCAGCCTTGAATGAAATGAATATACTAGAGAATGTGAGGGAGGGATCAGGGGGATTAAGTTGCTTCCATGCACAGTTAGCTACAGATCCTGGGTTGGTTTCCTTAACCATCTCACAGTACTTTGGCAAATACCCATAAGAAGTGTCATGGCCACCATTTATCTCCTTCAATGCTACCCCTCTCATCTTGTAAAGTGTACTGGTTGCCATATGCACTCCATACCTATTGAACAACTGATCATTCAGTGTCTTCCCAGAGATGTCATTATTTGCCCTTATATCTTCAAGTAGCTTTTCTGCAGCCCATTTAACAGTTACCAGGGGATTCCTTTCATCTAACCCTCCACAAGTGTGCTCAGGGTTCTTTATACTCTTTATAGCCCATGTGACTCCATCAGGTAGCCTGCTTGAATAAATTCTCCAACCACAGTAAAGCAAGACAGGAAGCAGTGAACCTCCTAGGACTACTCCTATCAACTACTACTGCAAAACCACATTGAATGCAATAATCTCTAAAGACAGACATGAAATGCTCTTTATCACTAAAGATCATCCAGGGCTTTAACACTATATTGCCAAACTCAAGATTAGTCACAAAATCACCATTTCTGTACAGCCTACTGAAATAAGTTTCATCTGCATAAAGACCTCTCTGCCAACAGTTTGATGAGTATGGGTCATATGTGTCCTGAACACACCCAATTTCTTCTTCCTCTTCCATGTCATCATCCAACTGAGCATCCTCATTCATTTCATTATCCAACTCATCACCCTCACCAATGAAATCCTCCAATACAGCACCCTCACCAATGTAATCTTCCACCTCAGCTCCCTCATCCATATCATCTTCCACTGCAGCTCTACTAGTCTCACCAGTCTCATATGTTCTCCCAACTTGGGCATCCCTAGCCTCCAATCTTCTAACTGCTTTATTAAACTCACTCTCACTCACCACCATAGCATCAACCATGGGTTTATTGGTTTGGACAATCTTCTTCCTATCAGTTGTAGTTCTTGGTATCTTGTGAAGGGCAATACCAGAGTTACATTTCAAGTTTGAGGGTTTTTCTAAGGATGTGTTTGTTTGTGTTTGAATCACAGGTGCATTTGAGAAGGTTGTTTGTGAGGGCATGGTTTCTTTATCATTATGTAGGTGGAGCTTTCTCTTGACAGGTAGTTTCTTAGGTTTCTGTATTTTAGGTGCACTCTTTTTCTTCCTCTTCTGTTCACTCTCCTGCTCACCCTCATCAATGTCATCAACTGGTGCATGTTGTTGTAATTGCATCTCAACCCTAATATTATTCCACTGCTCCTCATGATCATCAATTGGTGCATTTTTCTTAGGTGGGCTAGGACCAAAATGTACACTAGGGTTTTGTTTAAGCGTTTCAGCAAGCTTTATAGCAGCAATTACACAGTCAATAGGCTTGTCAACACAACCAATCCAAATAGTAATCTCTTCCCTATCCTTTAATCTATCTAGCATTGACATTAAATCACTGTCAGAAGTTATCTTAACATCTTTTATGTTATAGCAGTAGTGAAAGCTAGGGAATCTAGGAAACTCAAAATTCTTTTTGTTAAACCCTTCCTCACACTCAATGATCAAATCTATCTACATAACCTTGTCAATATCTTCTACAAAAACTTCAATTACATTACCCATATACGCAAACTTTAGCATACACTGATCCATTCTGCAACATAACAACCAAATGCATATATTTTAACATCAAACACCTACTAGCAAGCATAAAGACTTCATCTTTGTTCAACACGCACTCAGAGAAACAAAAACAGAGCATGCAACTTTCGCAATTATAAGAACAACTTGAAAAACCTAAAGTTTAAACGACATACCTTGCTTAAGGTCTGTATATCACTTCAGCAACTGCAAGAACTCCCCGATGTTGCGATTTCCGTCAGAATTTCACCAACAAACCCTAAATTTCGAACCACAAAATTCACCACAAAACGAACAACTCCAACGAATTATTTCCTAACAATTGCTCAGCAATTTCGCCAATAAATCGTCAACCAACTGTAATTTAAGCTTAGAATTCTTTAATCCCTCTTTCCCAGATCACAAATTCTTGGAGGTTGAAGGAAGATGAAAAGTTTTGGGTTATTTGATTGATGGCTGTCGAATTTACAGAAGAAGGAGATTGCCCGTTAATGAGAAGGAAGGGGGAATTCATTTAATTAAGGGTAGGTTAGTCTTTTCCTGAAATATGGTAAAAAAAACCGAACCATTTTGTAAATGGTTATCCACTTAATGATAATTAGGCCACTATAATCTAATATGCAAAACCACGAGGTCACTACAGAGACTAAAAAAACCTTTGTCTTCCATGTGGAATTTTTGAAACCACGAGGCTACCAAATAGAATAAGATTGAGCAGTTGGGGAATCAACATCATCATCAAAAACAGAAGGATTATGAATATGATTATCATGAGACCCAGTTGGGGAATCAACATCATCATCAAAAACAGAAGGAACTTGAAGCAATTTAGAAACATAAGATTGAGCAGTATCAAATTTATCACCCTCTGAATCATCATCAACCTTTTTACGGCTAAATAAACCATAAGAAACAGCAATTCCCACAAAAATTAAATGAAGAAGCTCCCACCATCGTGAAAAAATTGATGGGCTAACAATTTCAGGAGCTTCTGAAGGAAAAAGGGTGATTATAACTAAGAAAATTGTGATAATTATGGCTTTGAATAAGAAATTAGAGTAAAACTTACTTGGTTTCTTTTTGTTTTGTGTTTGTGTTGTTGGTACCCTTTTGGGTTTCGTGTATAACCCTCCGCCCGCCATTGATGAACACAAACAAACCCAGAAACAGGGGATTTGTATTTGATTGAAAAAGTTGCAGAAAGAAGAAGATGGTGATGAAGAGAAGCCTTGAGAATTAAGCAAAATGGAGGAGAGAGGAAGAGGTATAAAGTAAATTGGGAAGACGTGTGATTGGTTTTTAAGATGTTTGCTTTGTGCTTTTTTTTCTTTGCTTATGGTTTGTAACAGTCGTTTGCTTAGTGGGTATTGATGCCATGGGAATTTTGTGCTGTGTTTTTTCTATTCTTTTCTTTTTGAATAAAATTGTTCTACTTGTAATAACAAAACAAAATTCCAATTCTTTCGTACTCTTCTTATTTTCTCTGCTGTGGAACGTTGTGCGCTTGCTTATGAACAACGTAGACGAGTTCTTAGAGGCATCTAGCATAGGAATTGACAATGTATGTAACATAGTCATGTGGTCGTGTAGAAGTGTAGAGTGTTATGTTCGACCATGTAAAAGTGTAAAGAGATTATATTAAATTTTACGCATGTTTATTATACGTGCTCTAGTCTAAGTAATTAGACTAGAATAAACAATCTAGATAATGGTTGGTATAAGTATAGATTAGCGTGATTTACTAAAATTCTTCACCCTAGTTATGAAAGATCAAAATTTGGAAGGAGAAGTAAAAAGAATAATGTTACCTATGACTATTTAAGTCCCAACTTTTCATTGTGATTTTGTGGATAACACTTAGACAATCACACATATATTTACCTTTCTTAAGTTGAATGATACACTAATTTACCAAACTTGCAATTTTCTAATCTCCAAATTTCTAAATTGTTCCTTACTATGTGGGAATTACTTCTATTAAAGTATCGAGTATGGAAAAGGAAATTAGAAAAGATTGGTTAGTAGTCCTGAGAAATTAGCTAGCTAAAGATTTGTGGTAAACCTTAACAGATTGATTACTAAAGGTCTAAATTAGTATGACTGTATGAGTAATAAACTTTATAATAATGAGTAACAGATGGAATAATATTTGATCTTTACATGTATAAAGATCACAACAAACTAATTATGGGTCCATCTAGTTGGCCTAGCAATGCTAGTTAGCTAATTTAGAAACTAGGCAAACAAAAGCGTATAAAATATATCCATAAGTAACTGAATATATTTGGGAATAATTTGTTTGAAATTATGATAGTACTATATTATGGATTAGAGCTAGTCCAAGAAGCTAAGGGAATAACCTGTTTAAATTTATGACAGTACGATGGATTAGAGCTAGCCCAATTAAGAAGGGGAGCATGTTGGTAGCGTAGATGTGGTTAAGGGATCGATATTCTTGTTTTAGTTGTCTACGCTAATTTTCTTTTGGTAGCTAGATGTATGACTAAGATTAAGAAAATAAACTAAAATGAACCTAAAGCGGATGGTGATGGTGGTAGTGACTACGGAGGCTGTTGAGATCGGAATAGTCTTTCAGTGGTGATGGATGGGCAATGATAATGCTGAAAGTAGTGGAGTTGTGGTGGTGGTGGCTGTGTTGCAGTTCATGTGTGATGTAGGTTGAGTACCTTGATTAGTTGTTGGATAATGTTAAGGGCATCCAATTATGTCTATAAGTATATCATAGTACGATTTATTGATTTGGAGTGTCTTGTATTATATTGTAAGATTACAGAGACAGGATGAATTTTGAGTTAGGATTATCAGTAGTAGTAATCATATTGTCAATGTTAGGATTAGTAATATGGTGGTTGAATGAGATATGGTATATGAGGCCGGTCAAGTTAAGGTGTTCAACATTTAACACCAAAATACCACTTGTTCCTTTATTTGGAGAGACCTTGTCATTTCTTTGGTTCTTCAACAAAGCCCAAAGTCACAGCTATTCGTCAATTTCAATTATAATCCCAATCTCACAAAGGGATAGTTATCCATATTCTGTTTTATATTTTTACTTATCATATATATTTGGTTGCGTTTACAGGTGACACTTGGTTACACAATGAAATATTTTGCTGGTTTACTTTTGAAAATAGATGCATGTTTTTAATCTTGGAATAAGAGTTCTACCATGGAACTTCCCGGGAACAACCTATCATCATGCTCTCAAGGTATAGTTTGTCTCAACATATAATTACATATCTTAATTGTATATCATACCAATTAGCTAGCTACATGGTATTGGATTTACAGTTTACACGTTGATTGTGTAATTTGTGAACTAGCTAACAACTACTTGTGTATCAATGATAGATATACCTATACTTCATATTTAGTATTTCCAGTGTCGGAAGAAGATTATTAACATATGGTCTCTATTGTTTAGCCAAATCACCACCATGTTCTTCACAAGCTTATGGTATAATTGCAATAATTTTGATACAGAGTACTTATTTGCGACTCCTCTTATTTCTATTTGAAATCTTTATACTGTATATGAATGCACACGATTGCTTATAAATATAAACTACAAGCATAATAAATCATTGAACGTGTAAAGAAAACAAGGATATGTCACAAGAGAAGAATGGTGGGCACATAACATATGAAGATATAAAGAACGAATCTCAAGTATACAAACAAGGTTATATCAACTTTCCCCTTTCTCACCAATGTTTATATGCTTTTAAAGTTGTATTACAAAAATAAGTTTCACGTAAATACTTTATTTTCATTCAAAACACATTATAACATATATGATTGATTGCAGGTGATAGATGAAACAATTAGTTTGGCAAATCTTACCAGCTTTGTTTTCTGGAAAGATACTGATGATATATGCAACATTGAATTGCTTCTTTGTCCAATTCTTTCTTACAAGAATAATTTCAATTATCTCTAGTACGTGTTTGTAGTAAAATTTGCAACCAAAAAAAAAAAAAAAAAACACCGTTGTACTTAAAATAATTTTAATCTTAAAATTATAATCATCTCAAAATAAGCTCACTGTTATAATATAAAGAGAATAGGATATTGATTGGGGAGAGAATAAATCACTATATTATTCTATTAAGTAGGGGATATATATATATACATATACAATAGTTAGGGTTTTCTTAGGAAACACTAAGCTCTAGACCTAGAATATTCCAGAGAGTACAAGAATATAATGGGCATCCACCAATATTTTATAACACTCACATGAGCAAATACCTTTTTTTTTTTTTGAGGGAAACGCATCGAACAATATTATTAATGAAGAGACAACGTGTCCGAGAGTACATAGGGAGCAACCTCATTTGGACAATAACTAATCCAAACTTGTTCTACCTCAAAAGGCAATAATCTAGCTAAATAATGAGCTACTTATTCATTTCACGTTTTACATGAGACCAAGAGAAGGAATTAAAGGCACCGCTCAAAGATAATATATATTCAATCACACCATCAAGCTCTAAGAAATTGATGCCTTTGATAATCGATTGACGAGGACATGAGCAAATACCTTATTTCCCATTTCCAACTTGTGCAATTATCAATGTATATTTTTTTTTTCATTATTATCTTTAGTTATTATGTACAATTTATAAAAATTAGGAAATTTTGTATTTTACAACCTATAAAATTATAAATAACCTACTTTTTGAAATTACCACAAAAAAAAATTATTTTAAAATACCACCCATAAAAGACAAAAACAATTAGATTTCACCGCCGAAATTGTTAAATCTAACGTTTTACAAAAATTCTTCGATTTTCGTGCCATAAACATGCTCGTGAAAGGTTTTGGGGGTCATTTTTTATCTTAGGGTCCGATTTGAGGTCAAAATTAACAAATATTTATAAAAAAAATTCCTCATTTTGGGTGTGTCACGCAAATCAAGGTGTTTTTTTAGTACGATAACGAGGTATTTCCAATCATTTTTTTAATTTTGACTTCAAATCGGATCTAAAGGGCAAAAATGACCCCAAAACATCTAAATAACATGTTTTTGACACGGAAATTGAAGAATTTTTTTTCAAAACGTTAGATTTAATGGTTTTTTAATGGAAAGTGTTAAATGATGGTAAAATCTTTTTTTTTTTGTGGTAATTTTAAAAAGTTGGTTATTTATGGGTGGTAAAGTACAAAATATCCTAAAATTATTATTATTTTTTTCCTTATAAAATTACAATATACAAGATCACATGATATATAATTAATATTTTTCTTATATAAAATTACCAACAAAAGTTAAAATTGTCAAAGTTTGAACATATGAATAATAATACAAAGGAATAAAAAGAGTGTTTATTGACTTATTATTGTGATGGTATAAATTTCTAAACTGAATAAATTTCGTATAATTATATAATGTTAGGTTATTTAATACCAAAAGGTTGGAGTGTTATATTATGGCTATTTGGCTAAGGTACCTCCATAGTGATCCATCAAATTTCGAGGACCCCATGTCCTTTAATCCAGATTAGATAGGATGTAAGTATCGCCAAATCAAAAGTTTGTTGTTATTTATATCAATATGTCATTAGCGAAGTAATTAGAAGGCTCAGATGTATTAAATAAACAAATAAATATAATGATTACAAGTAATAATATGATACATATTGGTTAATATATTTAATTGAGTGTTTTTTCTATACATAAGCTTTAGCCAAACCTTATTGTAGCTTACTTATGGATATCCTACATTGAAAGAGGATGAGAGAACTTAGAATTGACCATCTTAAAAGATAGAGGAGTTACTTCTTGTATGTATCTTCAATTAGCTTAGTTTAAACACTAAAATAAACCTCTTTTTAGGCTTATAAGTGGACTAAGGCCCTGTTCTTTTGAACTTTTGGACAGTATATGACATAGCAGAGCAATTTTCAGCATTATTATTATTATTATTATTATTATTATTATTATTATTATTATTATTATTATTATTACTACTACTACTAATACTATTATCATTATTTTTTATATAATTATTATTATCATTATTATTATTATTCGTATTACTACTACTACTACTACTACTACTGCTACTACTACTACTACTACTACTATTATTATTATTATTATTATTTGATTTTTTGATTTTTTTTACTCTTTTTATAACATTAGAAAATGTATTAAATAATATAAAATATTAATTATTATCATTAAATACGAAATACAAGTTATTATTATCAATTAATATTATATGTTAATTATTATTATTAAATATTAATTATTATTATTAACTATAGATATTAGTTATTATTATTAAATATTAATAATTTTTTATTAAATATTAATTAATATTTATTTATTATTATTAAATATTAATAATAATTATTATTTTAATTAATTATTATTATTATTATTATTATTATTATTATAAATTATTATTTTTTTTAAGAAGAGCAGAAAGCAGAGCAGAGTCGCTCAAAAAAACAGGACCCAAATAGACTCTCCTCCTTCTAGCTTGTTCGGATTGTCCATGCCCGTATCACATTATCTTAAAATTTAATATAAAAAGCTCAAGGAAAGATCGTACGTGCCGACTGCCGAGCCAAACAACCCTAATCTTAAAATGAGCACGACTCGTTATTATCCCTTCCCATGCATAATTATAATATTCCTTTGACTTGCAATAATAATATATGATGACATATTTATAATTAAAATTGTCAGGTGCATTTTGGCGCACACGTACCGTGTCAATTGGAATTCCATTTAGCAACATTAATAATATATACGAAGTATGACAATTTCTCTTTGTTTACTACAATTTTCGTTTAACTTTATATCTTTAGATGACTTTAAGATTGAGTTAATTAGTGTCATAAAATAAAAATAAAAATAAAGATTGAGTTAATTAGGATGTACTGAGCTTAAGTCATGTAAAGATACAGGTTAGTTGATCAAGATTGAGTTAATTACAATGCTGAGCAAGATTAGTCATGAGTCTTAAGACTCCACATGACATCATCATCTTGGGTCTTCAGACAAGACTCTTTGTTTAATCTCATTTTTCTTGAGAAATCTTAGCTAAGTCTCAAGTTGAGTCTTGAAAGTTCAAGACTCAACATAACTTAAGATTTGAGTGTAGGCCTTTTTTTTTTAGAGTAAAAAACAAAAATTAAATAATATATAATATATAATAATATATGGTATGAGAAGTCTTAAGTGAGCTTAGGGCTAAAGTGCTAAATATGAGTGAGTATCGTATTAAAAGAGTCTTATATTACCTAATACAATGACATCATTTTTAACAGGACCTATCAAAAAGTGATGTCATTTTAAGTCTTAAGACTTTAGAATTACCGGTCAAAATTATACTCATCACTTCACTAACCACACACAATAATATCAATTTTTTTTCTTTGGGATATAGAATTAGAACGATCCTACAAATGACTGTCTTTAATTTGGATGTTAAAAAAGAGTGATGAATGATTAAAATATTACTCTCTCATATTTTAAACGATTTTTAAATCCGTAGGAAAATTCTGATGGAATTTAACCTTTTTCCAACGGAATTTTATTTAAAAAAAAAAAAAAAAAACAAAACTAAACCTAAACATTTAAATAGACGGACCCCCTCCCCCATCCCTATTCATTTCTCTTTCCTCTCCCCGCCTCTCTTCTTCTCTTTCTCTCTCCTCTTCTGGTTCTCCTGTCATTCTACTTCTCTATTTTTTCGGTCTCCTCCTTCTCTCCTCTTGTTTATTACAATCCTAGATTTGCTTTCTCTCTCTTCTCAAAATGCTCATTCGGCCTTTCTCGGTTTCTCTTTCCTCCTTTAGATCCGGCGTTTCGCGGTTGGCGATGTAGTGGTGTGAAGTGTCCGCCTCTGCTGGTGGTTTAAGCCCAAGCAACAACGACAACGGCTTCTCGTTGGTGGTGTAGATCTAGGTTTTTTTTTTTTTTTTTTTTTTTTTTTTTTTTTTTAACAATTTAGATTATAATTAAATTTTGATATAATTGTAATGTTATTTGAATAATTTCTGAAGATAATTGTATATTTATCTATTTTGTTTGATTTCAATATTTTTTTTTTTTTTAATTTTTTTCGATTTTTGGTTGTTGTTGTTTCGATTTGGGGGGTTGTGGTTTCGGTGGTAGTGGGTTTGTGGGTAAGGGAATTGGTTGTTGTTTTGGTTTTTGGTGGTTGTTTTGGTTGTTGTTTCGATCTGGGTTTTTTCGGTGGGTGGGTTAGGTGGTTGGTCAGGGTGGGTTTTGGTCTGGGTGGGTTGGGTGGGGGGGGGGTTCGGTTCGTGGGTGTGGTGGTGGGTGGTCTGGGTGGGTGGTATAGGTGGGTGTGTTGGGTGGGTCGTCTGGGTGACGGTGGTGGGTGGGGGTGGTCTGGTGTGTGGGTTTAGTTTAGGGTGGCTGGTGGTGGGTGCTTTTTTTTTTTAATTTTTTTATTGAATTTCCCGACGGATTTATATTTCGTCGAGTTTCTGACGAAATTTTTCCGGTGATGGAATTTCACTTTCGACGAAACAATTCCGTCGGAAAATCGCAAAATTCCTACAAAATATTATACGACGGTGCATTCTGACGGAATTCCGTCGGAAATCGGCAGTTCTAACGGATTTTCAGTATATTCCGAGGGATTATTTCCGTCATTGATTAGCTGTTTTCTAGTAGTGATATACTACCACTAGGTAAATTTACAAGTTTGACAAAATATACCTACTAACATATTCATACGAAGTATATATCATAAAATTATTAAAATCTATGCATAAAGGAATGGTTATGTTCTACCAGATTAGTTATTAGTTGCTCTGGTCCTCTTTTGTGAATCTTTGATTCATGTCACGCATGCGGCATGCGCTACATATCATGCACTAGATATATTCTTATCTCCCATTCTCCCAAATGGTTTACCTTTTAACTTGTTATGCAATGCACAATTGAACATGCCGTATTTCCATGTTTCCAAGCTCCATTAAACGAGCACATTAGCTTAATATCCGTACGAATATGAAAACAGAACATAAATGAACAAGGCTACAAGGACACATAAAAACCAGAGCTGATCAAATTGGGCCCGACCCAATTTTGGTCGAGCCATAGGATAACATTTCAGCCCAAAGTCAAACCAAATTTATTATTTTTAGGCAGGCCATGGACAAGTACTTTTAACATTTTTAGATTTTTTTAGGCCTGGCCGAATATGGTCCAAAATACCGCTTGGCCCAGCCCGAATTTATGGGTTTGGGCAAGGATTTTCGGCCCAAACCTTGCCCTGACCTAATGAAATGCTTTTTAGCCTTCTACCTGCCCAATGATCACCTCTACAAAAAAAACTAAAATGAGCTTAAATGATACTATTAAGTATGGACTATGGAGTAATTTAGTTTGATATCCCCCCTTTTGGCCCCATTTCTAATTTTCTATACCCTTACAAATAAAGCTGTCATGGGCAGGGTTGGACCAAGTCCAATTCGAGGCAAAAAAAGTTGCTCAAACCAACCATTTCGGGTTAGGCTACATATGATCATATCTACTTACAAATTACAATCAGTTTTAACTCTATAAAAACAGGTTTTCGAGTGTGTTACACAAAACCAAGACTAAATTCCACTAACGTTAGCGGCTTTTTAGTCTCCATCCTACGAAGTACTACTGTATTTAGTCTAGGTGGTAAAACGCAAATGACCCAAACCTCACTAAACTGAAATTTAGAACTCCTTTTCAGATCGAGAGAAAAAAATGGCTAAATTTTCACTTTTCATGGGTGAGACTACTAACACCATTAACAATTTTACTCTCAATAATAGTTATTTTACTCATTTATCCTCCAAAATATGTCAATTAACCTGGTGTTAGTACTTTTACCCTAAAGCCGCTATTAGCAATTTTGCCTATTTTTTTCTCTAAAATATGCCAACTTTACCCCTTGATAGATGATGTTAATAGGATGATTAGATTAGATCATCAGATAAACAAGTTACTCCGTAAATCAACGGATGCAAGTATGCAACAAGTTTGAACACATTACCAAGTTAAGAAGCACAGCAACCGCTGGCAAGCGCGGCTGTTGCGGCGGACTAGCCATCACCACCACCACCTCTGTCTTCTTCCATACATTTCCTCGCAGTAAGATTTTAATATCATTCAAACTGATTTTTATATGTTCCCTTGATCTCGCAGAATCACACCAAGGTAATTTTCGAGTCCATTTTCCTTGTATTAGCTCATTAAAATTATCTTCTTCTTCCAAAAATGGCGATGTCATCAATTTCTCGCTTTTTCACCTCCGCATATAGGTTAAAAAACCCACCATTTTCGCTCATTACAAGAATCAATTTTTCAACAGCAGAAGAATTTTGTACCCACCTCATAAATTGCCCTCAAAACCCTGAAAAAATCCTTGTTAATGTTAATGCTCAATTAGATGTTCAATGTGTTACTGCGGTGTTGCGTAGATTTTCCTTAAATCAGCCCCAATTAGGTCTTCGTTTTTTCATATGGGCTGGTTTACAGCCTAAGTATAGGCATACTCAATATATGTATAACTTAGCTTGTAAGTTGCTCGAAATTCGTCGAAACCCGGATAGGATTAGAGAGATTATTGAGTGTTATGGGGTTGAAGGGTGTCAAACTAATGTGAAATTGTTTAAAGTTGTTCTTAATTTGTGTAGAGAAGCTAGGAGTGCTGATGAGGGTTTTTGGGTATTGAGAAAGATGGGTGATTTTGGTTGTCAGCCGGATTCAACGATGTACAATGTGGTTATTGGGTTGTTTTGTGAAAGGGGGGATCTTGATAGGGCAATGGGGTTGATGAGAGAGTTGGAATCATGTGATTTGTGTCCTGATATGATTACCTATATGTCAATGCTAAAGGGGTTTTGTTTTGCTGGGAGATTGGAGGATGCTTGTCAGTTGTTCAAGACTATGAAAAGTCATGGATGTGTTCCGAATTTGGTGGCATACTCTGCACTCTTTGATGGACTTTGCAGAGCTGGTAGTTTCGAGAGAGCGTTGGAGTTGTTGGGTGAGATGGAGAAAGAAGGCGGGGAGTGTACACCGAATGTCATTACTTATACATCAATTATCCAGACTTTGTGTGAAAATGGCAAGTCAGTTGAGGCATTGTCGCTATTGGAGCGTATGGAGAGTTTTAAGTGCCATCCTAACAGGATTACTATGAGTGTGCTAATCCAAGGTCTTTGTCGTGAAGGGTATATTGACAAGGCATTTAAACTTGTTAATGATGTAGTTGTTGGAGGTCAAGTCTCGAAAGATGAGTGCTATAGTTCTCTTGTGATCTCCTTGTTATGGATCCAAAGATTTGAGGAGGCAGAGAAGCTTTTCAGGTGGATGTTAGGAAGTGCTGTGAGGCCTGATGGGTTTGCATGTACTGTCTTGTTGAAGGATTTGTGTTTAAAAGGAAGATTTTTTGAAGCATTTGGTCTATGTGAGGATGTTCTGAAGAAGGGCTTTGTACTAACAATTGATTCTGATATATACTCAGCCCTACTTCTTGGTCTTTGTCAGGAAAACCGTGTGGAAGAGGTAGGAAAACTGGCCAATTATATGGTTGAGAAAGGGGTAACAATCAATACCTCTTACATTGATAACATTCACAAGCACCTCAAAGGATCAATTGAGATGGCGGGCTCGATAAGGTTCACAGGATGGTCAACACCAGAAGCTTGAAGGAGGTAATTTGGCTTTAGAAAGAAGTATGCATTATGGTATTGAAATTAGAGTGATCAGGGGTCTTAAATATGAGGGTAGTCTTACTACTAAAATTTATGTTTATGATGGTTTATATAAAGTTGTTGAGTCTTGGTTTGATGTTGGTAGATCTGGTTATGGTGTGTATAAGTTCAAGCTTTTAAGAATTGAGGGTCAACCTGAAATGGGTAGTACCCTATTGAAATTGGCTCAAAGCTTGAGGACTAGGGCACTGCAGGTTAGGCCTGTGGGGTAATTTTGTCTCGACCTTTCGATGAAGAAGGAGAATGTGCCCATCTTTGTTTTTAATGATATTGATGCCGACAATGACCCGTTGTACTATGATTATTGCCCCACGGCAATTTTCCCTGCTTTTGTGTATTCAGGGGGAACTATGGGGTGCAGTTGTATTACTAGTTGTCATGATGGGTGTTTGTGTGCAATGAAGAATGGAGGGGAGATTGCTTATGATAATAATGGTTTTTTGCTTAGAGGGAAACCTTTAGTATTTGAATGTAACAACAATTGTGGTTGTCCTCCTAGTTGCAGAAATCGTGTGAGCCAGAAGGGGCTGAAGCATAGATTGGAAGTGTTTAGGTCCAGGGAAACAGGTTGGGGAGTTCGGACTTTAGACTTGATACATGCTGGTGCATTTATCTGTGAATATGCCGGGCTTATTCTTACAAGGGAGCAGGCTCAAGTTTTCTCCATGAATGGAGACACACTTATATATCCTGGCCGGTTTACAGAAAAGTGGGCTGAATGGGGGGATCTAACCCAAATATATCCTGGTTATGTGACGCCAACATATCCGTCTATTCCTCCATTGGATATTGCCATGGATGTTTCCAAAATGCGAAATGTTGCTTGCTACATAAGCCATAGCACTTGTCCCAATGTGATGGTGCAGTTGGTGCTTTATGATCATAACAACATTTTGTTTCCTCAATCTTATGCTATTTGCAATGGAGAACATCCCCCCGATGCGGGAACTTAGCCTTGATTATGGTGTCGCTGATGAATACACTGGAAAGCTCTCAATCTGCAACTAGATTTGTTTTTTTCTCAGCTGTCCCATCTTTGGATGTGGTGCAGTGAAGTGCGTTGAGAATATGATGCAGTAAGGTAATTTTTCTATCTTCTATTTTCTTTTCCTGTCTCTAATTGGCAATAGTTATAGTTCACATGTGTTGTACTATCAATCCTTTTTCATTCTTTTACAGTTTTAATTCCTGTAGTTTTGGGATGTGTATTCTGTCGTGTTGTGTTCAAGCATTTTCTCATATCTGATATGAACTTTTTCTGGAATTATAGAATATCTAAAATTAATTGCACAAATAAATTTCAGGTTTGTTTATGTTGTGAATTTCATCTTGATTTAGACTTCGTGGAATGCCCAACATGCTGGTTGATTGCTGTATATTTGCTTAAGCAGTCACAAGCTTGCTAATGATTATAGCCATTATTTAATCTTCTTATTTTTATGCTTTACTTTTCTATCTCCTGCCGTGTTCAAAAAAGGAGAAAGGCCATATGGCTGATTGATATTACATTTGTGTATATTTAAAGGCCAATTTCTTATAATTTTATCTTTTCTTGCATTTTTAAATTTTTTTTCTCGTTCGTTCCTTTTTGGTGCTGCTTAACATGACACATTGATACCACATTGAACAAGTGGGGAATGTTATTATTATCTTACTTCTGACTAACTCATGACTAGCAGTAATTTCCATTGTGCAAGAACCACATTTAGAAGCTTATGAGTTATGACGGATGATGAGCTACACTTATCAATTTGCCCCTGTGCTGTTAAAATTTCAGTGTGAACTTTAGAATCACCTGACTCTAAATCCAAATAATGCAAGTGTCCTGTCAGAATTGAAATGTTATAAGATCTTCAGATCCTCCTCAAATAATTTTTTTAAGACCTTTGTATGTTTGAGTCTCCTATATATGCTATGGTCATAATTTATAATGTATCTCGGAGGATGACCATCATAAATCAATTTATTTATTTTTTTCTGCGATGTAAAGAGAGTTGTGTGAGGAAATGGCATGTAAATGTTGTCATATCCAGTAAGTTTACTTCCTCCACCTTTTTGTGATGTCATTCAGCCATATTACAAAGTATGAATAATATAATTGGTAGGCCTCAATTATCAAAATTTTAGCAGTGTGCAAAAACATTCAGAGTAGTTTTTTGAACTTTAAAGTCCAATAGGGCATATCAAAATCAATGTCAAATTCACTTTTCATCCACGTGTCTAAGATTGCTTTACGTGGCTGTTAGATTGGAAACTGCCTTTTTTTATTCACTCTCTCCTGTTACACTCCTTTCCCACTGGCCAAATTTGAAGTTCAAGCCCTTGGGTTTAGTTGCTAAGCTTATGAGCTTTCAGATTGAAATACGCTGAATAATCTTTTTGAAGAAAATGATTTTGGAGAAATTGTCTTCCAATTTGTTTTTGATGTGAATTTGGTCTCAAGATGGCTATCTGGTTTAGTTGATCCCTTTGCTTGAGGAAATGTAGGTTCTGAGCTCATATTCCGATTTACCCCCTCGTTCCCATCTTTCTTGGGCGGTGGGCACATAGATTTAGGAGAGAATTGTTGGTGGTCTTTTTGAGTAATGGTGGATAAAAAAAATTGGAGTGTAGTGTTTGTTATATTTTTATTGACATGAGAGAAAGTGTTGGGCCTTTGAGTAAAGATGAATAAATAATGAAGAAGTTGTACTATAGATTAAAGCATTACAGAGTATATTATTTGGTGAACCACTGTACCCAACATAATTTGTATGAGATGTTTATTTGGGATAAATTTAAAGGGAGAAACAGGATTTATTTGGGGGATTGTAGTTGGTTTGTTGCATTGCTCTCTATGTAAATATGCAGACTTTACAAGATGCATCATGACAAACATTCCCTAAAAAATGTATAAATAAAAGCTTGCAGCCATAAGTTTAGTATTAGAAAGCTCTCTAGATTTGTTCTTGACTGAGCTGCTCTTCTTACTAGTAAATCTTGAATGGGAAAAAGTATTTGTAATGCAACACAGCCACACCTGGACAAATCTGAAACAAAAACACTCTAAATAATCAGTAATCGATTCTGGCATAAGATATATATAATTAAGTAATACTTCCCTCTATTTCTTTATAGTTGCAATTCTTCCCTAAAATAAAAATGTCACAAAAGTTGCAACACACTATAAAAGGAAGGTTTTTATGGTAAAAATTGTACTATTACCTTTATTTAAAGCACATGGCCTACTTAATTATATGCAAGTTACTGGCTGTACTTGCGGTGCCGAAATGAAATTACAAGGAAGGGAAAGAAAGACAAAACAGGAAAAACAGTAATAGAGGATTTGAGAGCAATGTAGAGCAGTAATAGGGGCTGTATCAATTAGCCAGAGTAACCAATCAATACAAGCAGACCTTCTTTTGAGAGGAAGGCACTCTCCCAATTACTTCTCAATTTTCTGGATGTCTTCACTACACCCCTGGCTGGATTATTTATACTAATTACCAACTCCTTACATTCATCCCCCCTAATCATAACAGAAAATATTCCCTAAACCAAAAGGACTAATAAACCCCTCTAGGATAATAACAGAACACAATCTTTATTTAATAAGCATAACAGAAAAGTGACAGCTCAGCACAACTCCCTGAATTTTCTGTTAACCTCCTTGCTTCTTCTTGCGTCTAGAATATGTGGCAATGATTGGAGGCCTCGGCCCATTCCTAGCATTATACTCCTAACAACCGCTTAACCCCATTTTAAGTGTATTATATCATGTGAGGTCCACTTTTCCTAAATACCGTGATAAAGTGTGTGTTGTAACTATAAAGAAACGGAGGAAGTATACTTTTGAACTTTTATTACAAAACAATGGCACGAACACCGGAAATTCTGCTGTCAACTGGATGTGAAACAAGTATATGCACAAGGCAGAAACTCAAACTTGGACATGGTAATTCAGTGCCTTTATTGGGAATATTGTTGTTGAGTGAGTAAAGAAAGTTCAACCTCCTTACAAAATACAACACAGATTTAGAACCTGGGAAGTGGAGATGTGATGCTGTTGGGGTTTAATTTTTTGGAATGAACGATCCTTTCTATGCATCTTTTTGAAGTGGTAATTGTTGTCGTTTTGGGAAAGGATTTCACAGTTTTGGGCGTATATGAAGTGGGCATGCAAACATTTGAGATTTCTTTAATAAAGAAAGAAAAGAATTTGGATCGAAAGCACCTTTGAAAATATCTTAGATTTTTGTTTCAAGAATAGGAGTTTGAGATGAAATATCGGAAATAATAATGTGGGCACATGCTAGGATGTTTTTAGTCTGTTTTGATTATGTAGGACTCTGATGCCGGCCTTGTTGGTCATTTTAGAAGCTGAAAAACCTCTATATAGCAACTATCATGTTTTCGAGTGTTTTGACACCAGATCCATATGGTGGGCTCTCGTCTAGTGGGGCAAGGGCACTGGTCTTGTGCAGACAAAGCTTGTGAGCACATAGCGTAGGGAAAATAAGGATGATGGATACTCTTGGTCATAGCGACAATACTGGGGTCAAGGGTTGATCAGGGCTTGTGATGGTTGAGCAAGTCAAGGGTAGATTGGGGCTTGTGACGGCTGAGCAAGTCGAGGCGGGCACAAGCGGAACAGTCAACGAATTTATCTGTTTTAAGGGTCTCTTGTGACTGTATCCGTTTTGGTGCTTTATACATGTGACAGAATAATATCTATAAAGGCCTACAACATCACAAAAGTTTTAAAGCAATAAGCAATAATGAGTAGGAAGTTTAGATTTCGTTAATCTCTTGCTCCCTAAAGAGCTTTATTTTGGAAATACAATGTTTTCCTAATGAATGCTGGATTGAATTACACATAATAATTCTACCTAGAGCCTTGAAATGTCCTAGAAAGCATTGAATAAGATGTCATGTTAAAAACTTCTTCATTATAAATGTGATTGATTTGCACAAGGATAATCATACTTGGAGCTTATTATATTATATAGTGATTATATTCCATTGCTGTTTATTATTAGCCTCAGTGTTCCACCTGTAAAGAAAATACAGAAAAATCATTTTTGTGCACCTTTAAAACAACCAATCTAAATCCTAGAATGGCGAAAGTATCAAATCTCCTTCTACTTCACAACAAAAAGGAAGTGGTGAAGAATGTGTAAGTTTGTTTAATTGTATACTCAGTCAATTGTGTTCTCACAGTAAACAAAGGTTTTAGCATAACATTGTTTCCAAGTTCTCATGCTGATGGCTTACCATCAGTGATCATGCAAATTTGATGGTTGTAAAATTTTTTTATTAGTTGCCCTTGCTGTCACCAAAGTAACACCTAAAGGAAACAAGCTCATATGTGCAGTCTGCCACATAAGAGGATATATTGTAGGAAGATTTAAGGGGTGTAAGGATCAGAGCTGTTGAGTGGTATTCTACGGTGAGTGATCTTTAAGGACCTCTTGATACAACTTATAAAGGTTACTGTAGGTTGTAATCTTTTGTAGACTCGGAGCTGCATTATTGTGCTTCCGTCTTTACCACATTAGCAATTTACTCTTTGTTTTTGTTTTTTTGTTTTTTGTTTTTTGTTTTTTGTGTTTTTATTTTTTTATTTTTTTTATTTTTTGTTTTTTGTGTTTTTTTTTGTTTTATATTTTTTTTAATATTTTTTTTCTAACCTGAAACAATCTACAATCGCGTGGAGTTCTTGTCTAAATTTTTTAGATTCCCATGGTGCTCAAGTGATAAGTTTAAATTTGCTCTTTCTTTTTGGAGAAATATTCTTGAATTTCAGTGAAACTGATGGTCATAGGAGTATGTTATAATTTACTATGCATTCTATGTGTTTAATGCTTTGTGTGGAATTTTTTTGTGAATCCTTTATCAATATGTAGGCTTATCTTCTATGTTGCCTAGACTCGGATTTGGGTATTGTGTCCGATACTCAAGATTGTATAAAATTTCATATAAGGCAACTATATATTTGGGTATCACGTTGTGTCAAAGTGTCTGAGGATCCAACACACGACACCTGACGTACTGCAGGGTTTTGGAGTAACATAGCTTAACTTATTTATTCTTGGTTAGCGATTGTAGTGTTCTTAATTTATTTCACATATGAATGCACATTGAATTTTTGTTTCTGATCATATGTTATTTTGGTAAGACTTCGGTGTTTCTCAATTATCTTTCTCACGTGCATGCTTAGTCTACATGAAGTAGACGACTAGGTGTTGTCCTAGGGTGGTGTTAAAGTGAAAGCTCATACATTATCAGCTGTTGCATTTATGCAGCTATATTTTGGAAGTTTGGAATCTTTGAGGATTGATTAAGCTATTATCGGAACCTATCGATGACTCTGCTGTGTACATCTGTGATATTTGCAACTGAAACCTTTCGTTTCTTCTTTAAGTCTCCTATTTATGCAGAGATACTGTTTCAGCTTCTTCTACTTATGGAGCAGAAGCTCGTTATTTCTTATTTGTACTTGGAGTCTATATCTAGACAAAGGTTTATCTTGAAAGAATTTAGTGACTTATAGAGCATAGATATTCAACAAGAATGTATTTGGTTATTGCTTTATTTCGATCCACGAAGATGTACATGCATCCAATGATCTAGTGAGATTGATTTAGCAATTCTTTTCTAACTAGGACGCTGACCTAACCTGAGAAGTATCGTAACTTATATAATACATTGTCAATTCTAGATACGTGTGTGTGTGTGCGCGCGCTAAGAATAGCTTCTTATTGGTGGCTTGAGGTCAATGATGTGCTAAGAAAAGCTTCTTATTTGTAGCTTGAGGGTTCTTGGCTTTTCTTTCTTTGCTATACAAAGGATAGTGTTCAACTGCAATATTTTCTTTTCTTATTTTGTTGAGCATTGTTACCGCTGTGTGAATAACACTATACAAAGGATAGTGTTATTGCTTGCGATTGCATGAATCTAATGACTGAATTTGATATCATGCAAAATATATGTATGTTTCATTGTTGGAGGTGGTTGGGTGTCTTCTGTTGTCAAGTCATCCTAGGGCGCTCTTAAGTGATAGAATCACTTATATCTTAAGTGATAGAATCACATAATAAGTGACTATTAGCATTTATTATTGTTCTGGTATTACTTTAGTGAATGGGCTATATTGGGATTAAATTTTTGGCCAGGTGCTTGTATTAGTAGACTTTGAATGAAGTTTGTTAGTTCTATGACATGATTTGTGTTCATGATAAGCAACAGCTTTTGGACAGTTGTGTATCCATGCATGTCATCATAATTTGTACTGAACGGGCATGTTGGATTGTTTATCTATAGTATGTTGTCATAACAAATGATAGCTAATATCTGAGTCCTTTATATGCAGATCTACGTGGGTTTTTTGGGCTTTCACATCACACAATTTTGTTCAAATTTCCGGCAGTCATCTTTTGCAATGTAAGATGGAAGACTTGACATGCCATTGGTTCACCAAGATGATAGTTGTTATGTTGGAATTTGGTTCTGCCACAATAGGTATACCTACCAATTTTTATTGATTTGGATGTTGTGGAGATGCTAAAACCAGTGATGGAATTTTGAAGAGTTGACGGAAATGGAGCTTCAGCAATTAGAATTGCTGTGCAGCTTAATTTCTCGATGGAGATTGTTGCCTTTGCTGCACTACACTTCTCGAGTCATACTTACCCCTTTCAACAGCTTGTTTCAACCTAAGCAGAAATGTTTGTAGGCTGATAAGCAGGATTGTAATTCAGTATGTCGACTGTATATATGATGTTAAGATTGCACAAGTGTGTGTACAGTTAGTGATTGTGTTTATGCTTGGGGTAGGTGGTTCGACTAATCCCTCTGCTTGAGGGGTGCTCCATTTTGTCTGTCATCAGATGTGTAGGCGCGCAGGTCCTTGTAATTCCCGGAACTCCGGGAGGATGTCATGTAGTACTTTGTTTAAAAAAAATATATATAATCCTTCTAGATTTTAGACATTCCCTTGTCTTGCTGTATATATTTGTACAAAAAAATGGTTATTGTGATCTTAGGCTAAATGATCCAAAAATATATTTAACTTGTTTGATGTTACAAGTTTTATTTCAGAACAATGGCTTTATTTCCATGATTTGGAAATAATTCACATTGTTTAAACCTCTAAAAAACAAGTACTCCCTCCGTCCCCGAAAGAACGACCCTTTTGGCCTAATTCTAGTCCCAAAATGAACATCCCATTTGCATTGATATACCCTTCAATTTGCAATAATATTTGTGCAAAATTAGTTTCCCCATGCAAATTTTGCTTTTTCTATATGCTTTTTACTTTCTCTCTCTACTTTTTTGCAATTCCCATGTAAATTTTCCTTTTCAATGTACTTTTATTAGCTTCCCTATACACTCTTATACTTCAACTTATGTTTCTTAATACCCGCGAAATCAACCCAAAAGGGTCGTTCTTTCGGGGACGGAGGGAGTATTAAATGTAATTTCATCAGATGTCCCTTGTAATAATTATATGGTTAGTATTATGGAGTAATAATAATATGTTGGGAACTCTAGGAACATGTAATTAATCAATAAAGAATTGTGTGCATGCTTAATTTATTCAGTCAGAACCTCAGAAAGAACATATCTGTTAACTGGTGGCAATCGTGGCATTTTTGCAAAGTGTGCCAATCATTTAACATTGATGGATTTGATTGATTACGAAAGCATGAAATACTCCGTATACAATCAATTAGGCTACCCAAATTTAACGACGAAATAAATTAATAAATTTCTTGCTTTCAGAAAAAAAAAATAAAAATATCTAGAATTTTTGTATAAAATGATTCTCAACTATTACTCTTCATTTTCATGTTTTGTCGTGAAAAGTAGATTATTTGAAAAAAAGTTGCACTGGTTTTTTGAAATTTATATTTTTTCCGTTTCATATTTTTTGCAGCATATAAAGTATTAGTAATTTTGTAAACATTTTAAGGAAGAGATTTGAGGTAGTAAACGAGCAAATTAATCAAAATTGAAACACAAGCTCTTTATGAGAGTGTTAAAAGGGGAATTATATGTTAATGATGTTAAAATTATAATTTGATCAATTGCACTTTTAAATCTCTTCCTCCAAATGGATTCCAAGAGAGTGTGTTATAACTTACAAGTAATATAAATTAAAGGAAGTGTATAAAATATAAGGTTATAATATGGTGCAAAGCGTTAAAGCCGTGCTATATAAAAAAAAAAAAAAAAATTAAAGCGTCTAAGTCGTGCACTAGGCACAAAACCTTGGCACAAAATGCCGCTCATCCTCAAGATGAGAACTCACCAAAACGTGGCATTCATTGCTTGTACGTTAGTTTTTTACGTCTAGAGTGTTCGTCAATAGGAGTTTTCTTAAAATGAAGGTTTTTTCATCACGGATCACCCTCTTAAACATGTTAATGTGTTTATGATTCACGAATTTGCATCACTACTTTGCATGTTTTTATGAATTTTCCACATCATGGGATTCTAGCTTTTCCAAACGTTAGCTGCTGTTAGGGTTGTCTTTACAATCCTCACTCAAAACCTTAATACAAGTTATTTTAGTTAATTTCAATTTAGACCCATTAAGTTTATCTTAACTTAGTCCAAAATTAAAAGGCCTAATTGGCCCAATCAGATACTTAAAACGCCTAGTAAAAGTCCTAAAAACAAGATTAACTTATCCCTAGTTAAGTTAGTGCACACACCTAACAATACCTAGGTTCCAGCATAGCATACCATGGTTTGATCCAGCACAACACGCTAGAAATAACATGGATTTAATTACCCTTTACCAAAAGAATCCAATGTATATGATGAGCTGACATGCTAAGAAATAGGTTATTTTCTAAATCATATCAAACATATTTTATTAAACTCAAGCAAAATACTAAAAGAAGCACGAGGTCAAACCACGAGGAGAGGGAAGCAAGTTGCAAATAATCTACAATTAAGCTAATCCGAAATTGAGGTTTAGAGAATTGAACTAAAACTAATCAAGTAACGATCAAGTAAGGGAATAACAAATTACAATCAATATAAAGCACTAGGGAATCAGGATCCACATGTATTCCTGATTAACAAGCAAAAAATGGAAATCAAGCATTCAATATAATGTATAGTAACGACTAGTAGTAGGAGCAATTGGGGGCATATCTAATTAACGTCCTCAAACTATCTAACCTAAATCCCTTTATGGTAAGACAAGTAAGAGGAAAACATAACCAAATTCTCAATCAATAATGATGAACTCAATATCAATTTCCATGTCAATCAAATTCAATCATGCAATCAAGGGGGCCAATCCAATCAATATAAGCATCAAGCAAACCTCACCTAATCAATCTAATTACCATACAAGAATCACTAAAACTTCCAATCAAGCTCAAATTGATCAATCCAACATGTTTCACCCTAATCCCTAGCAAAGAATCTACTCACTAGATCATGCCATAGAGAGGGAGAGATGGCGGCTAAAGCAGAAGAACAAGCTTGAGTGTTGATGGAAGAAGTGAGTGGATAAAGATCACCCCGACTATTACATCTCATGAGAGGCATCCCCATCTGAAAATCCTTCACAGAAAACCCAAAAGGATCAAATTCAACTGAAACAGAATTATCAGTTGTAAATTTTCGAACAGAAATTATATTTATGATGATTTTGGGAGCATGAAGGACATTATTTAACGATAACGGAAGATTTGAACGAAGAGGGTAAACATGCCCATAACCATGAACTGGAATTGAATGACCATTTCCGATAATAGTACCACTAGAATTATTGCTCAAATTAAAATAAGACGAAAATTACTGTTCGAGGATGTCATATGAGACGTTGCACCAGCGTCCATATACCAAGACGAATCAGGCAGATTAAGGGTCATGGTGTGCATTGCTGAAGCAATGTCCGTGGGAGCATAAGTGGACTGACCAATTGGAGAAGAGGCTATATAAGCTTGCTGAGGTCTCGAACCCAATACGCCAGGCCCACAGTTTGCTGGTGGACGTGCCCAACCCTGCGAGGGAAATGGGCAGGAAGGAGCAGTCCATTGTGGCCAACCCCATTGAGGGTATTGAGGCCAACCAGGATACCATTGTTGCTGCTGTTGCTGCTGACCGGAACCCTAACCACCATTGCCCCGACCAGATTTACCACCGGAACCACCACGGCTTGATTGAGTTGACCACATTTCTTCATCATCATCGGCAGACGAAGAAGCCTTTTCTTTTTCTTTTTCCTTGCCTTTGGCAGGAGGAATAATGTTCTGTGTCCATGTAAATAGTGATGGAAATGTGGTTCTTGATATTAAATACTGTGAGAGCAGGATGAAAAGAGTGTTTAGAAGACGACATTGAGGCTGCCGGAGAAAGAATAGAGAAGAGGATGGGCGGAATACAAAGCTAGGGCGTAGCGGAAAAGAGATCGAGAAAACCCTAGTCTCGTGATACCATGAAAGAATATGGGGAATATTTTCCTTCACTTCCTCATTCAATCACGTATCAATATATACATAATACAAGCATTTCTCTTGGCTACAATCTAGGAGAATTACCCATTCCACTTCATACATTTGACATTCCCGCTTTCGGTTCAAACATATCAACATCGCACCGCCCTTTGCAATATTTAGCCCTCAAAACTCTAGCCCAAAGTGCATTAGGATTAGCCCAAAGAAGGCGGAGTTGGCTTGCTTATCAGACATGATACCGATACCACCCTTAGCAACTGGCTTTTGCAGCATCTCTCAGGAAAGTAAGTGTACCCTTTTGTGTTCATCGTAGCCTCCCCATATGAAGCGTCTTGTTTTCTTATCAATTTCCTCACAAGTACCCTTGGGAATCTTTGCGGTTTTCATATAATAGAGGGCCATGGTGGAGAGCGTGGACTTAGCTAGAGTAACTCTACCCACAAGCGATAAATATTTCGACTTCCATTCTGCTAGGCGTCGATCTATTTTTTCACATAGATGGCTGTACGTATCTTTGGTTATGCGACTTGTCAAGGTCGGCACACCTAAGTACATACCCAAATCTTCCGTTCTTTCTACCTGCAATACTGAACTTATGTTCTCTTGGTCAGATATATTGATATTCCTTGTAAAATAAACTCTCGCTAAATCTCTGTCACTCACTGTGAGAAACAGAAGCGTTTCTCACAATGGCATTTCGGAAAAAAATCGAAGTTTTTCACTTCGTGACTTGCTGACTCGGATTTGCCTATGTGTCAAGTTGCTGAGTGTATCTTGGAGTAATGATGAGTGGGGACATCCTTCTGTCAATCCGTAACAGAGATGGCGTTACCTTCTTGACGTTTTGGCAGGGAAAGTGTTCACAGCTTCCATACCCAGGTTCCAGTTAATAAACAAGCCGACATCAATTAGCAGGTAGTTTTCAGTTCTTCACACATCGTCGACATATACAGGTTTCCAGACCCAGTAAACAGACCCACGTGGAAAAAACGCACATCTTCGAATTACGAGGTAGTTTTCTGTTCTTCCAGTTGTGAGTTTTGTTCTGTTGTTGTCTTGGTGCGCCAACAATTCATGAAATTGAATTCATATTTGCAACCGAAATTGGAATAATTTTGAAAGAAATGGGATAATGAGGATTTTTGCATCTGTTAAAATGGGTTTAAGGCTGCCGGAAATGGCCAGAGGATTTTGTTTAAAATGCAATTTTTACTTTTTGAAAACAACGTGTTGTCTTCGTATGCTATGAAAAAAATCCCTCTGTTGATTTGTGAGGTTATTTGAAAATTGGTTGTGTTGGTTGTTGAATTGGTTGGTTGATTGGTGTTGGTTGGTTGTATTTCTGTGTTGGGTTGAATTTGTGCTGTGAAAACGTGTTGGTTAATTTGTGTTGAATTTTTTATTATAATTATGTTGGTGTTCTGTATTTGATGGGTGAATTGTTTTTGATGGAGAATATTGATATTATGGAAATGGAAACAGAAAGCGCTATAAGGGGTAGTGAGGTTGGTGTTGGTGATTGTGTGGCAGTAGAGTTAAGTCTCGGGGTAACGTCCATATGGAGGAGGGTATAGAAGACATAGTTGTTGCAGGTAGTTGTGCAGATGACATGAATGTTAGGTATTTATCCCCCGTGAAAACAATTCATTCGACTCACACTGTGGTTGGTAGCAACGAAATAGTTGTAGTTGTTGAGGAGCCTAAGGAAGGGATGGTTTTCCAGTCTTGGCAAGAGGTTGAAGCCTACTATAAGGACTATGTTGAGCAGATGGGGTTTGGAGTGTCAAGGGCTCAAGGTGTAAATTCTAAGATGGGGGACAAAAAAAAAATCAAAGTGATGTGGAAGTGTGAGTGTTGGGGAAAACCCGACATGAGGGCTAGGAGGGAAGCGAAGAAGAGGGCAAAGGCAATGGGTCTTGGAGGTTTAGGTGGCTTAAATAATGGGGTGGTATGCAAGGATGAATTAAGTGGTACGAAGAGGACTTCGAAAAAGTGCGAATGTGAGGCTCGTGTTTATGCTAAAGTTAACGAAAATGGCTTGTGGGAGTTGAAGAGCGTGCAACTAGAGCATAATCACGAGATTAATCCGGCAAATTCCAAGCTTGTGAAGGAGTACCGCATGAAGCAAATGACCTCCGCAGTGAAGAAGAGGTTGTTTGATTTCTATGAGGTAGGTGTACCAATTTCTCAAATACACGGTTGCATGGCGACCAAACGAAACGGTAACATGGCTCTCATAGTAAAAGATTTACAACATGAGGTGTACAAGGCTAGGCGGTTGAAGATGGTTGGAGGGGACTCGGTGGCAATGATGGAGTACTTTGAAAAAATGCAATCCGGCAACCAAAAGTTTTTCCATGCTCAAAGTTTGGATGAATAAGGGAGGCTTAAGGATGTGTTGTGGGTGGATGCAAGAAGTAGGGTAGCTTATTAGGACTTTGGTGATGCGGTTTGCTTCGACGTAACATACCTAACAAATGAGTACGAGCTCCCACTTGTGAACTTTTTTGGTGTGAGCCACCATGGGCAATCGTTGTTGTTAGGATGTGCTCTTGTTTCACATGAAGAATGTGATACGTTTGCGTGGATATTTTGACAGTGGCTAGCTTTCATGAAGAATCGAGCTCCTAAAGCCATATTGACCGACCAAGCGGCATCTATGCTGAGGCCCCTTGCTGAAGTCATGCCAAACACAGTGCACTGTTGGTGCATATGGCATATCATGAGCAAGATCCCTGAGAAACTTGGCAAGTGTGCACGGTATGTTGTGAAACTCCTCCTCCTGCCTTTACAAATTTCAAGGTCTTGATATTAGTTTCAAAGGCTTAATAAACTGATTCCCTTATTAAAGACAAGCTTACCTGTTGTTGATGTTCTGCTGTTATCTAACCTTTTTCTTATTTTTGTCTAGTTACCAAGAGTTCGTCAACCCCCTCAAAGAGCTGGTGTATGAGAGCTTTGACCCCAAGGAGTTCCAAACCCGATGGGCAGAGTTTATTGCTGAGTATAAGTTGGAGGACAATGAATGGCTACAGATCCTACACAAAGAGAGTCGTATGTGGGTGCCTGCGTTTGTGAAGGACTTTTTTTGGGCTGGTATGAAGACCACACAAAGGGTGGAGAGCATCAATCGGTTTTTCGATGGCTATGTTAACCGCAAAGAAAAACTCCATGAGTTTCCTCAAAAGTATTGCATGGCCTTGGATCAATGCGTTCGAGATGAAGTGAGTGCAGATGAGCGTTGCTCGAAGTACCTTAGGAGGTTGGTTAGTGGATTCAAAGTAGAAAATATTCCAAAATTATACACGGACAACAAGTTTCAAGAAGTTCAAAAGGAGTGTACGAGAATGATGTATTGCAACGTCCGAGGAGAGAAGGTTTTGTCTGAAAACCTTATTCAGTATTCGGTGGTCTATCTTGTATGGATAGTACCTCCCGGTGCGAGTGAGGATGTCATTACAAATAGGCGAAGAACCTACAATGTTACTTTCTGTCCAATGACACAGGAGGTGCAGTGTGACTGTAGGAAGTTTGAGACAAGTGGCATACTTGCAAACACTGTATTAGGATTCTCGATGAAAATTTGGTTGAAGATCTACCAGAGAAGTACGTTGTAGACCGTTGGAGGAAGGACATACCCCGGAAGCACACTTGGGTGAAGGTGGCCTACCATGATCCGGGGGACACGGTCAATGTGAAGAGATTCAACAAAATGATGGGAATATTAGAGCCCTTATGTGAAACCGCTGCCATGGTGGACGATCAAACGGTCCATATGGTAATTGAAACACTATCAAAGCTTCAATTAGCTGTTAATGAGCGTAGGGACAAGAAGAGTAAGGAAATTGTTCCTGTAGTTAGTACACTGACATCAGCCAGTGAAGGCAGAATGTTTTCCTCTGTTAGGAATCCTGCTCCTACTGCTACTGCCGTAGACTCCTGTCCAGCTGCCATGGACCCTGTTATTAAAGACCCTATAATTAAGAAAAGGAAAAGGGGCAGGCCTAAGGGTTCAAGGCACAATACATTAGCTGAAACTGGCTACAAGAAAACCAACAAGAATAGGAAGCCTAGCCCGGTTAAGATTTATGCTTTCTTCAATATTTAAAGGGTCTGACTGCTTATCCTGTTATTATTTTCTGACTGCTATTATATCTATATCTATAATATACAAGAGCATGTAGGAAATGGTGTTGAGTAGGATGCAACAAATGGTGTTGAGGAGGAGGATGCAGGAAATGGTGTTGAGGAGGATGCAGGAAATGGTGTTGAGGAGGAGGATGCAGGAAATGGTGTTGAGCAGGATGCAGGTGTTGAGGAGGAGGAAATGGTATTGCAGGATCTGGTGTTTAGGAGGATGTAGGAAAAGGCAAGAATGGCAGGAAATGGTGTTGAGTAGGATGTAGGTGTTGAGGAGGAGGAAATGGTGTTGCAGGATCTGGTGTTTAGGAAGACAACAAAGGGGAAGGGGAAGGGGAAGGGGAAGGCAAATACGTCTTCTTGGAAGCTACCTGTAAGTATGAATACTAAATTTATGTCATTTTACTTCAGTGATTATTTATATCACATTTAACCCATCACACCTCTCACAGGTGAAGCAGAAACGTCTTGATGAACTAATGGCCATTTCGTGACCATTTGAGTTTGCTAAAGTAACTATCATTTACTTGAATATTAGTGTGATTGGTGACTCCATATTAGTTGCGTCGTTAAATTAATATATTCTGATCAAGAAAATATAGCTTGTTGTTACGCGATCATATGAAGACCGTTTATTGTTTGAGCATATGAAGAAATGCATATTTTAAATAATAATATGATATTTTAAACAACATTAAGGGAGCTCAACCTCAAATGCATTAACAGTGCCCATAATACGGTCATCATTGGAGTCATCAGCAGCTATCAGCATGGTTCGAATCCACCATACGAGGATCCCAGAACACCACGGTGCCTCAACTACAGGTTGTGCGTGGACTATGCAAAGTGGACTTGCTTTTATTTCTGTTTTACTTTACTTGGCTTTAATTTCTATTTTAATTCGCAAATTATATTCTGTTTAAGTTGCAATGTTGAGACTTGAAGTACAACTCAAAGCCTTGGCACTAATAAGTGAACCTTTGAAACTAATTTCAAGACCTTGAGAATCCTTATATCCGAAACGATCGCTCCTTCAATAACTTAGCATTGAAACCAATTTGAACACTAGAAATTATTATTATTAACTTAAAAATTATCATGATTAACTTATCGTTAACTTAGCATTGAAAAATTACTCAACGAACAATAGAATTAATCAAGCAACCCAAGTACAATTGGCTAAAGTTTAGGCGTGGCTAAAATTTTCCGCAGAATATCGTATTCAACGACATGCCAGGTTAATTTTCCTGTTTGGCTGTGAGAATAGACATAGTCATTGAAGTTCATTTTATTATAAAGGGTTCGTGTTGTACTGGAAATAGTGTTTGTTGGTTAAGGCAGTTGTTGGTTAAGGCAATTGTTGGTTAGATTCCATGGTGGGAATGAAGAAAAGATCAAAGAGGGTAAGGTAAAAAATTGTTTGAACTTGTAGTGTGCAGTGTGAATTTTGTGAAAAACAAAAAGTCCCACATTGGTGGGGAATGGAAGTTTGTCCTCCTTTATTATGGAGAATGTGGAGTACTTGGGTGTGGCCCAAGGGATACCCACATTTTGTGGAGAGGGAGGACTTACCTACCAGGCCAACCTATCACACACACACACGCGCGCCGATCCAGCATTAATCGAGCCGGGCTGGGTTGGGTCGGGTCGGGTCGGGTTTATTAAGCAAACTTAATTTTTGCACGGTTTTTTGAACAAGGCTTAGTGGCTTGATTTTTGTTAAACGTTTTTGACTTGACTGATTCTCTTCATAACCGTTTTAAGACTCATTCAACATTATCGTTTTCTAATTAATTCCAGAATTAATGCTACCGTTTTCCTTAATTTCTGGTAACCGTTTTGACTGGGTTAATAACTGTTTTAATTGACTGTTTTGAAACCGTTTTTGTTTAGAAAACTGCCGTTGAATTAGTACCGTTTACTGAGTTAATGGTGCGGTAATTTTGCTTGAAACCTTTTAATCCGGCTTATATATACGACATTCTTCGGAGTTTCAAGGTACACCGAAAAACTATTTTTCAATCCTCTTTCTTCTAAAACACAGAATTCGAGCACTTTCCATACAGTTTAGGTGTTTCGTTGCCCGGTGGTTTAGTGCAAAGCCATCGGTACATAATTTCTTTATTCAGAGAGACTGTTTTATCCTGAGGGACATCCGGTTACGTACGAGCTGCTTGCACAACTTCAAGGTAGTACCATGAATGTTCTTATTGTTTTTGTTCCTGTAGTTCTGCTTACAACAATAATAAATGTTTCATAGGGGCCAAACAAGTCACGACAATCGAAGCCAATTATATGATGGTTCACTGCTCATTGTCAAATTACTGATTGACTATTTGGCAATTCGGTGTTCCAAACGCCGTATAGTACGTCCTCCGACACTGTAGTGCCATTATTATCCTTCTCATAGAAAATTGTACAACAGCAGTCCGAATGACATGCTTTCAAATATCTCCGACACTTTGGCATTGAGTTGTCATTGTCAACAATATTTGAATCATGAGGAAGTGTGTCATTGCCATTGCATTGTCATTGTCAAAAAAAGTATCACGTAAATTAAGGTGAATTACCATGGTGAATCCATGTCATATCCTTTAACCACACTCATACTTTCAAATATCTCATACACTCATTCATAAATCGTATCTGCAGTGTTGGTAATGCAATTGTGATGGAATAATAATTCTTAGACGGAGCTTAGAAGGATTCAACAATTCACATTGTATATATATTCGGGTTTATAAATTTGCGTTTATGAGGTTTATAAATAACTGGCACTAGAATACGATGGTAATTTGAGTCGGATAATAAAATGTACAAGTATAATTTAAATTGGTATTTATGTATGTAAGATAATATGTAAGATAATATCTAAAGGATGTTATTCGATCATAGCCCGAACCCTTATGTTGAAATCGGAATGGGACCTAAACCGTAAAATCGTATATGTAAGATAATACGTAAAGGTTGTTATTCGATAATAGCCCGAACCCTTATGTTGAAATCAGAATGGGACCCAAACCGTAAATTCGTATATGTAAGATAATATGTAAAGGTTGTTATTCAATCATAGCCCGTTATGTTGAAATCGGAATGGAACCCAAACCGTAAATTCTTTGAAACCAATACTCAAGTAGAAGAACAATTTTAATGGAGAAACACCCTCAAATTAACTTAAATTGATGAATAATTTGACCCACTTATCGTTTATTACCCGGATCGTTTACAACCCGAATATTATTAAAACCGCTCAAGAATAAACAGAAACCGAATCGAACTGATAATTATTTAAAACGAACTGAAACTATCCTATTTGAGCTGATTTAAAATCATATAGTCGCAAATCATATACTACGTAGTTGACGCAACTATTCATATGTATTCAACTATTCAACTATTCATATGTAAAAACAAAAAATACTCGAGATTTAAGACCATATTATTGGAGCAATTCAATGGAATAGTACAAAATTACAATGCTCCTCAAGATAGTTTGTATTAAATAATTACATAACCTTAGTACGATTTAATAATATCATTTGTAACAAACAAATTTTCTAAGAATATGGATCCTTTAATAAAAGAAAATGTACTATCAAAGTGCAATGTGAAAAAATGAAAAGTACATTTCGATCTAGTAGATTAGATAAATCTAACCACGTTACCTGGATGACGACGAGGGAAAGTAACTAACAACGTTGCTTCGTTCAACTATGAGCGAATCAACAATTGTTTAATACCGTTACTTGCTTTTAAATTGGATAATATAATCAACTACAAGAGCAATGAATGGAGCATCGATACTTCGATCAACTTGCACAATATAATCATCCAAAGGAGCAATGAATGGAACATCGATATATAGACGAACCATAAATCTTACAACGCTAGGAGGAACAACAACAACAACAATACGATCAACTCGGGACGAACAGTAGACTGATGGAACATTTGGTTTTCGATGCTGAACTAGATAGTAATACATGAACGGTTCGCTAGTTCACGTACTACATACCCGATTTCAATCAACTAAAAAACTATTATTTAAGCGAAGTAATGTCAATTATTAAATGTATAATTTAGAATAGAAGGCGGATTACAATTTCCAAAAAGTAGTTACATTACTAGATTTGCATAAGAATTTAATCCAACAGCGTTTGATCATATTTAAGGGTTTAGCCATTAGGGTTTGAAGGGTTTAGGGTTTAGGGTTTGGAGGGTATGTAGGGTTTGGAGGGTTTGATTTTTGATTTGTTCTTTTATTACTCAACACAATATTCAGTACGATGGGGTTGAATCTGTATTGGGTGGTCCCACTTTTACCCCGTCGCTATTTTAATTTACGTAATGTTTGCACTTGTAGCATTTTTTGGGAATCTTGTTTCCCCTTATTCTGAATTGCTAAAAACTTCTTTTTATCCAATGGTTAATAGCTTGTGGGTAATAGCTAGTTAATTGATGGAACACCAACAACCTA